GATGTGAAATTTGAATTTTAGAATAATGAAAATCGTTTGATTTGTGGCTGTGTACTGTCCTCTGATCAATCTCATTTAGAAATCAGTGATAAATGCAATGTAAAGTTTTATTGGTTTTTTCTTTATTTTTTATTTTTTTCACAAATTTTTCTTGTGTATTGTTTTTAATAGTTGAAATTAAATGATATGAAACTTATTCATCGTCTTGCTGAATATCTTCGTTGTCAATGGAAATTCATTGGTCGTGAATTAGCACCTTGTTTTTCTGAAATAGATTTAATAGATTTTCAACAAACATATTTTATATTAGATGGTAATCATGAATGTGCTTATCAATTATTAAGAGAATGGTATATACGTCATCCTGATCAAGCTAATATTCGTTATTTATTGACTCGATTGAAACTTCCTTTTGATATTATTATTGAAATTCATAATGATGTTGTGAGAAAATTTATTTCTAGTTAGAATTGATGTGACTATACTTTTGTCATATATTTCATTCATTTTGTTTTTCTACTGTTACAGTGTGCTTCTGTTTTTGTTTTGGGAGGCATGTGAACTGTTTTGTCTTTTCGTACGTGTGAGTATTGATGAATTTTATCCTTGTCGCTAGCCGTCCAAAGATGCCAACCGATTGTAATAAAACGAGAAAAAAGATATAACTATCGCATCATTTTTGTTTCTCTTCTGGCAATGGAGATGTTTGTGTTGTAAGTTGAAAAGACCAGATATTTTTGCATTAAAAGAAAGTTCTCACCATCAAACTAATAAGGTTAAAATATTAGTGGTTGTTGCCTTACCTAGACGGAGATATTCGATTTTTACAGTAATCACAGTTAGGGTATACAGGAACATTAGGATTATTTATATTAATATTTTATCTAATTAACTGAGTATTTCAATAGAAGGCTACAAGAATCTTTATGAAATTTATCAATAGCATTAAGATCACATTAGTTTTGATGTCTTCTGAGACTTAAGTAGTATCTAATTACCAGCTTTACAATTTAAAAATATCATTAAGAACGGATGTATACAAGCTCAAATAACAAATGAAACAATTGGACAGATTGAAAAACCAAAAGATGTTTGCTTCAAATTTTACGATTTATACTGTTCAATTAACAATTGCAATGAATGAATACTTTGTATGCTTGATGCAAATAAGCTCTCTGTTACTATCATCTGATTGAAGATCTACATCTGCACTTGTAGTACATTTGTTCAAATAGTATATTATATAATCTATTGTTTTCAGTTGAAATAAAATCGAAACTATTGGTGAGTTAAAAACTCTGATAGCTACCAGCTGATCTTTATCTATATTGATATTACTTAAGTCTCAGAAGACATCGAAACTAATGTGATCTTAATGCTATTGATAAATTTCATAAAGATTCTTGTAGCCTTCTATTGAAATACTCAGTTAATTACATAAAATATTAATATAAATAATCCTAATGTTCCTGTATACCCTAACTGTGATTACTGTAAAAATCGAATATCTCCGTCTAGGCAAGGTAACAGCCACTAATATTTTAACCTTATTAGTTTGATGGTGAGAGCTTTCTTTTAATGCAATAATATCTGGTCTTTTCAACTTACAACACAAATATCTCCATTGTGAGAGGTGGATTCTGATCGTTCAAAACAAACTGTGATTTATTATGGATAACTTTTGTTTCAATATATATAGTACAGTATCGGACTTATTGTAGAAAAGGCAGTTTATCTTACCTATCTAAATCCGAGGCCCACAGCTTTGATCGGAATTCTTATATTATAATACCAAACTGGAGAATAGTGGAATATTATAGAATTCTAAAATACTGTTTGAACTATTAGTATACACAGTGGGTATCCAAATTGTTCGACTAGCTGATAGTTTTCTTTTCTTTTGTGTATATCTCAAAAACTAGATGAGCTGGAATCATCGTGTTTCCATCAGATTATGGTCCATAGTCTCTAGTACACTAGTAAAAAATTTTCATATCAATTCATTGATCTCTTTAGTTATTATTGACGATAGAATCACATCATGACTTTTTTAGTCTTCCGAAATTATCTAACCATTTATTTTCGCAAACTGTTGTGCGCTTGTTAGAACTTAAAATTTTCGTTATGATGTATGATTCAATAGAACAGGTTGCACTCTACGTAATTCCTATAATGTTGAGCTAATTTTATTGTTTAACACATGATTAGTAAGAGCACTACAAATTGTATCAGATATTCTGTTTCAATAGATATTTCATATTGGAAAATCGTTTTATTCGTCTCCTATGTAATACACCAATTACAGATAATGTTCTTGTACTGTTTTATTCAAGTATCGAAGAAGGTAAAAGTTGTTTTAACAGCGTAGGTTTATAGAGAATCTTTTTCTATAGGAAACTCTTATATTTGAAATCAAAAGCGATCATATCACTTAAGTTATATATCTTTGTTACACTATGGATAACAAGAATAAAAAGCTTACCACCGTCCTAGCAACAGTCTAAGCGTAGATCTCACTAAATATATAGCAAATTTTTATGTATCACACCTTTGTAGATAGAAGATGAAATGTAGAACAACACACTATGTTAAGTTTCATTTGATACATTGTTGTTTGGTAACATACATATCGACTCTGTTGTTAGGACTACAATAAATGTTTTTACTCCCGCGAGATATAGTGTAACAAAAGTAAAGAGCCTAAGAGATATAATAATTGGTTCTGATTTTAAGTATAAGAGTTTCATACGGAAGAAGATTCCCTACAAATCTATGCTGTTAAAGCAACTTATACGTTCTTCGATGCGTGAATAAGACAATACAAGCTTGTCTATCTGCGTTTTTTCTGACTCTTTATTCTCGAGATCATTGCAACAGAAAATGATAATTTTTAATGCATATGTCTAATAAGTAAAAAAAAATTAGAAAACTCGCAAAAGAATTACATAAGTGCGGTGCGAAACGATCTCAAATTTCAGCTATGTCGTTCCAATTAGCATAAGAACTAGCTGAAGACTAGCTCACTACTTTTAATTATCTTGGGTAAAAGATAGAGACCGAATCATCAAAATCAACGTTTTGCGAAAGTTATTGAAGATGAACGAACACTCATATTGAAGATTCATAAGCGCTTGTATCATCTGGAGACATGGATCTCTCTGGCATAGTTCGAACGAATTTCTAGTGACTTGCTGTTCTCTAGATCATTGTGATACAAAGTAAAGATTTTGTTACAGGGAAAAGCTCACAAAGTATAAAGGCCGAATACATATGCAACCGACTGCAGAAATGCTCTGCTTCGCATTGTATTAATTTTCGCCATATTGATTTTATGACATGTTTGAATTATTAATTTAATGTACAATCAGGATCAATGAATTTATCCTTCATTATTATGACACAAAAAAAAAAGTTAGCACAATGTATTTGTTAAAGAAGGCAATAATTACATCAGTATTATACAAAATATAAACAAAAACGAAAATGAAAGAACAAACAAAACTTGCACATATCAATTTGTAAGAAAAGAAAATATTACAAGTTGTAAAATAACCTATTTGTTTTCGCACCATTCATTTTCTTTTTTGATTTGTTCTTCCTAAGAAAAACAAAACGATAAAATTTAAACAATAAATGAAATAAAAATGAACGAACTTCTTGTGGTGTAAAATCATTTTTAATATTAAATGTTTGTCGAATTTCTTCTGATGTTTTTCCTTTGATCATATTTGCAACTGATGTACATGTTACATCAAGTAATCCTTTAATATCTAAATAATTGGCAGCCTAATAGCGAAATCAACAAAAAAAAAATTATATTTTTAAAAGTAATAGAAATTATTAACATACCAATATAAGTTCAAAAAGTGTTCCTTGATCAACTTTAAGAAATTCTTGGTCCCATGACGATATATCATTTGTATTTTTTTCACGATTTTCATCATCTTCTGGTGGTAGTGGTGGATCATCTTTATGATGTGTTGTCCATTGAATAACCTATCGAAATTAATTATTCAAAAATATAAATTGTCTTAAAATTTTACTTTTTTAAAAATAGCTGAATTAATATTCGGCAATGGTATTATTTCTTCTTCGTTCATACTAAGATCTTCAAAAAAATTATAATTAATTTTATTTAAATAAAACCAATTATTTTACCTTCTAACATTGTTTTTATCGTTATTGATAGTTTAGCAATTTCAACTTCAACATCAAATATATCGCCATCATTAGATTGTAATTTTATTTTATGTCCAGCCATTTGTTCTTTTTTAATTGAATTGATAAAAATCAATAAGATACTATCTAGAACACAATAAGTAATTTTGTTCTTGAAAAACAAAAGGTCATCTCAATAAAATATATTTTCGATAAGTATTCAATAATTATATAATTTTTAAAAGTTAAAACTTTTCGGTACTATTGATGAGATACAAGAGAAAAAAATTATTTTTGCAAATTTTACAAAAACACAAATCAAGCCACGTCAACGTATGAGTCATTATCAACGACAGAGAAACGACCGTATATAGTAATTATGACTCAATAAAACGGATTACAATCAATTCTTTCAATTCGTGATGAAATTTCTCCGAATAATAATAATCTATTACATATGATTAATTGTTTCTATTGAAGGATAGAAAAGAAATCATGCTGACAACAAAGAAAAAAACGAGTTATTCATTAATGACTTCATCTTATAGAAAATTTGTGTACATCAGCATTAACAATGTGCGGATTCAGTTTAGTTCTGCTTTCAACTCACGAGACTCGGACCGGAACTAAAGACAGGCCCCGCGCGAGGGTCCCAAGATTGGAAGGGGGGGGGGGGGGGGGGACGAGATTTCAAGGCAGTCAAGGTTGAGGGAAGCAAAATTTTTTTTCGCATCAGATCTGATGTTAATCTTTTTCTGCGGACCTAAAATGTAATAATTTTTCGCGAAGCGACAACTTTTTGCAACCTCCTTAAAAAATTTGATTTTTTCTCGCAAATTTTCAAGAAGAGAACTCGAGTTCAATATGAGAAAATTCCTCGATACTGTCGTTATCGAAGGCGACCACTTTGGCACAAATTGCTCTATATCAAGCTGTTTCAAAGGAAAAGTTGACTAAAGTATTATCCGATCCAAAATAAAAGGCAAGTTACCATTTTTCGAATAACTTTTGATAGGAACGAGATAGAGAGCTGCGATTTTTACCATTCGAAAGAGCGATGTCTGAGCCATTGATCGGTATAGAACTCATTAAGACGAAAGATGTTTTTTTTTTTTTATGGGTACCTTTGGATCAACACTTTTCCTTTGAGTATTTTCATTAATTTTTCGAATAATCTCAACTCAAAGTATGTCAAAATATAGCTCAAATCACCCTTTTTTCGCTATAAAATTAACACTTGTTTTTTTTAAATCCGCTTAGAATAAGCGATTGAGAGATAATGAAATATGTGATAATTTTATAGCGAAAAG